ACAGTTGGATATTTGGTGTATTATTGGCTTGAGAATCTATGAAAATTTTTATCCAAAGTCGATAATCTTTTGTCTAAATTTTATAAATTGCGCCAAAATTCCTCAACGTCCACTTCGATCCTAATATTCAGATGGGTCGTTGTGAGCTCGGTGTGAGCGAAAATAATGACGTCATTAGTGACGTTTAGGCCGCGACCACAACGTCCGCGATCGTCATGTGGAACGACCGAAGGCATATTTTGAGCATTATGAGCGCTTAGTGGAACGCACTCATTGTGTACTTTATTGTTTATAGTGTATGGCGTCAATAGTTTTCAGTTGTTTGATGTGTGTTTTCTTTATTGTATTGTCCATTTATCATTCTTTGTCGGTTGCATTTAATTTTTTATTCCTTTATCTATGATTTTATACGTTCTGTACAGGGGCGGATACAGGAACTTATTTTAGGGGGGGGGGCCAAATAAAAAAATAATGTAGAATATGCTTTTTAGAGTGTCATTTTTAACCCAAAAGGCTAATATTTAACCCAATTTACAGATTTTAGGGGGGGGGGCCGGGCCCCATGGCCCCCCCTCTGTATCCGCCACTGGTTCTGTAGCATCCCTATGACGTAGTTGCAGCTTCGCTCCTATTGGACCAAAAGTTACGAGACATTCCGAGACAACCTTATCTTTCAATAAACTTGCCCTGAGGCCTGAGGGTGCATCCACATCATCCTAACCCAACCAACTTGTATGTCTAGTTACTTCCTAAAAATATAACGGTCTATTAATTTATAAAATAAAAAAATAAACGAGAACAAAATAAATCAGAAATATTTATTAATATATCATACAATATGACAACAGTTACACAATATGTGTAAAAGAGTGTCTTATAACGTCCAATCGTAAAATTTCCTATGAAATATACATTAGATGGTTACATTAAAAAAAAATGGAAATTTGACAACAGCGTCCGCACTTGTTTTAGTAGAATCTGAAAGAGTAGAATGTTGAAAATACATAATTCTCAAGGGTCAAAAATATCGTCGTTTTAAACTAAAATTGGAAATAAAGTCCCTTGTGCAATAAAGAACGGAAAAAGTTAAATGCAGTAAATTTTCAATGAAAATATAACAAATTGATGAGTTATTGCAAATATAAAGAGCAAAATATTTCATACAAATCATGTAAACTAAGCACAATAATAAATTCTAAAAGAACAAAGCAATTTGATTCTAACAAACAAAAACAATGAACTACCTTACCGCACATTGTTTTATCGGTGAGATTTAAAATTATCAAAGTCAGATATACCGATTTGGTCATTTTAGAAGTGTGGTCTGGATTTTAACGTATAAGACAGTAATGTAAGCAGCTTAATGAAAAATCGAATGTATTAAAAAGAGATAAAAGTTGGTTTGATACAATTTCTTCTATGCGGTATTGCCGGATTTTGCATCAAAAGTTCAAACCGCACAAATAGGCGTTTATGGAAAATTTTGCATCTAGGGTTGGGACCTTATTTTTCACAATTAGTTACTCATTTTACTATAGATGTAATAGATTATATTTATGTTAGATCTTAGATATATTATCTTCATTTCAGTAGTATACAGGGTGGTCCAAACTGTATTCCGGAAACTTCGGCAGCATATTCTGTAGATAAAAATAAGTTACAAAGTTCGTATAAATGTATGTCCTAAAATGCTTAGTTTCGGTTATACAGGGTGTAGAAGTTTCATTTTTATTTCGATTTTTTTCCAAATAATTTCTGCAGCAACGTCAATATTTGGATGAAAATTGGTGTCTGGGAGTTTTTTGACATGAGAAATTTGATTTTGATGTCAATATGACTCCTAATAGTAGAGGGCGCCACCTACATATTTTTTAACTGGTTTGAAGAGTAATAAATTTTCGTCCGTACCTGTATAAAACTACTGAGTAAAAAAGTTTACAATAACGACGTTTTTTACGCAAAAAATTTCTCTAAAAATCGCTACAAGTATTGGTTTTCGAGATATTTGGAATCGAAATTATCAATACCTGTCATCATTGACATAAATTAAACATGTTGACTAAATAGTTATTAGACTGAGATCATAAATTTGAAAGTTTTTGTGCCAAAAGAACCAACAGAAAACAACAGAACCTGTTTTATCATCATTTTTTTGCAGAAAGATTTATGATTAATTTAAAAAAATAAAAATTTCCCAAATTTATTATGTCAGTGAAATAACTATCTACTCAACTTGTTTATTTTTCGTAAACAATGACATGTATGGACTATTTCCACTAAAAATATCTTGAAAACGGTTCGTAGCGATTTTTACAAAGAGATATTTTTTACGTAAAAAGTATATTTTTTCCCTCGGTAGTTTTATACAAGTACGGACAATAAAGTTATTACGCTTCAAAACAGTTAAAATACATGTAAGTGGCGCCCTCTACCAGTAGAAGTCATATTGACATCAAAATCAAATTTCTCATGTCAAAAAACTCCTAGACACCAATTTTAATCCAAATATTGACGTTACTTCAGAAATTATTTAAGAAAAAATCGAAACAAAAATGAAACTTCTACACCCTGTGTCTCTGAAACTAAGCGTTTTAGGACATACATTTATACGAACTTTTTTACTAATTTTTATCTGCAAAATATGCTGCCGAAGTTTCCGGAATATAGTTCGGACAACCCTGTATATGAGAGTTTTTAAACTAGTTTTTTTTCTACAAACATAAAAACTGGCAACACTGTATGTCGCTTTTGATTTTGCCTGTTTGTCAACCAGTCATTTATATTATTCTCTGTCTTACACGTTAAAATCCATACCACACTTCTAAAATGACCAAATCGGTATATAGAAATTATAAGAATATTTCTTTTATGCCATATATTAAGTAACATAAATATGTAAAATAAATACTAGAAATACACATTTAAAAAAACATATTTCTTTGTGAACAGAAGTATCAACTTGTTAGCAGCACTGACTGGTAATGTCCTCGTTTAAGGAGAGGATTACATGTAAAATTACTTAGAATTTAAAATATAATTTTATTGCTCCTGAAAAGTTCTTACCAAAGATATTAAGTAATGCTTACCAAAGATATTAAGTAATCTTCCATAATCTAATTGCATAAGAAAAGTTAATCTATGTATATAAAAAAATAAACCCTAACTTTCCGTATACTTTAATTCATAAACAGAAAGTAGTCTCGATAATATATAAATAAATCAACTTCTATAAAATAGTTTCTAATGCTCTACATGTTCGAAATGGTTACCACCCTCCCTAATGCACAAATTTATTTCTTGTTCAATCTTATTTATATCTCTTTGAACATAACTTCTTGTTATAGTTCCGAGTGCATAATTTTGTACTCTTTATTGTAAATGTTGAAATGTATTGATTTCACTTTTACAAATGACGCCAAATAATGCCCCTTTAGTTATATTGCATTTGATTTTCCGTATTCCATGTTTTACCCCATGTCATTGTTAAGTTTGAAAGCTTATCAATATTGTAAGGATAAATAGACTATAAATCTTAAAAAAACAGCCGGACTTGAAATGAGTTTAAATAAATTATGTTCCAATGTCCAAAACAAAAAAAATATTAAGTGTGGCATATCATTATACTCAGGAGACCGAGTTCTTTCAAAATCTGCAATAAAAAATGCAGATCCGTATTTAAAAAAATTAAGTTGGCCAATCTAAAAATATTATCAGATAGCCCCCCAGAATAAAGTGGCTATAAGAATGTGCAATTAGTTTTTTGATTTCCTAAAAAGTAACGCCAGGAAGAAATAAAAATGATTTTCAACAAAATCAGTTTTTTCCAAAAAACTCAGCAATCCTTGAAATTTAAAAAAAAAATTAATGGCATCTTGGTGAACATCCTAAAGCGCAACTTTGCCCCAATTTAACCATGTTCGTATCTATTACGGTTACCGAGATACCAATGTTCGTACCTCGAATTTGTAGCACCTTGTATATCCCACCAATCTATTTTAGACAAGAACAACTAACCTGAATACAATAGGCATTCTTTACTCCAGTATCTAAAGAGGGGTCACCGCGAGGATCCCTGGGAGTGACAGTTGTGTCATATTAATTCACGGGTAAATTGAATATTCTGTAATTTTTAAGATGTCGTGAGTCAGTTCGGTGAGAACAGACTGTATTCTACCGTGTCCAAGCTACTTCTTGAGATTACCCTGTTTATTTATAGGGTGGTTAAAAATTCTGTGTGTATAGCCTATCCAAGAAAGAATGACTGAGTGACAGGTATTTTCTGTTATTTTAATTCATATCATAATTTTTAGTGATGGGAAAACCGATTAATTTCAATAATCGAGTACTCGAATTTCAAGCGATTGCAATAATCGGGCGATCGCTCGAGCGACATTTTCGACCATCGCTTGTTGTAAGTACTCGTTAACGCCAAGCGCCAAGCAGTAAGTGGCGTGCGCAGGGCACATATTCTTTCGGTGATGAATGGCAAGTAGCAAGCGACGAGCGATTCGCTTGATTTAGTTTATTTCAAAGCATTGTCGATGTAGGTCGTAAAATTTTGTCCCTCAGATACGCAACGGATAACGTCATATAAATTTGCTACCTGCAATGTATGTAGAAAATTCGCTCGGCTTTTCATCGAGTATGTCACATTAAAATCGGATTTCAATTTATTTCATTCTAGGATCACTTGCGTTCGTCACTCGTAACTCGTCACTTGCATCGCTCGTTCATAATCGAGCGATGTCGGTTATTTCAATAATCGAGTACTCGAGCAAATTTTTGCTGGAGTTATCCCATCAATAATTTTATAATATTTTATGATTTTTAATTCTAAAAATACGTTAAGCCTTTTTAGACAATAAAAAGAAATTCATTGTGGAAATATTCAGATAGTATTTAAAAATAATGAATTCAGAAATTGATTGATTAACTATTCTACCCAGCAGTTTAAGCAAATCAGAAGTTGATATACACATAGTTTAATGTAATTTTTACATTTTATCAATGTGTATAACTTGTAATATCGTTTCATAATAAATTCGTTGTAATATATATAGAAAAATGAAATCTATATGAAAGAAGTATACTTTATGATAAATTACTTAACCTAATTAAATAAATTAAAGGATACTGGATAATGGAATTACTAGGTAGGAACTTTTCTGAGCAGAAATATGTCAATAATTCACTCTACTATCACTTGCAATAACATTTTTAAAAAAATATATAAATTATTTTGGAAAAAATAACAAATTCATCTAAGTCTTGGGCAAACGACGAATAATTTTTTTCTTTACAAGTTAAAACGTAACAAAAAAAAAGAAGAAAAATACACATTAAACAGAACATTTATATTAAAGTATTTTAGATGGTGTGTGCGATACAACAGTAAAGTCCATTTGCAGCAAATTTGTTGCATCTTATCTTTTTATTGTTCTCGCACATACTTTAGTATTTTTAAAGGGGGTAAAAAGTATCAGACATTTTGGTAGAAAAAAGCTCTTTGGAAGCCAACAAAATCACAACGTTTAAAAAAAAAATGATACCAATTTCATCTGATTTAAATAGGTTACAGTTCTTTCAACAATTTTTCGAGCATGCACTAAAGTCACTTGAAAACAAAATTAGTTTGCATTGCGCCCACCTGTATCAAAGTAATTTTCTTCTACTCTAAACCCCGTAAACACACGCACACTCACATCCTTCACCGTGTCGCACCTCTACTGCTTCGATGAAGAGAAAGACTGTTTTTGTTTTAGTCTGTCTCATTCTCGTGCATCGGCCAAATTTTCCTCGCGGGGTTTTGCGCCTCCAAATATCGCTGCGTTTCGAGACGACTCTGCCAAACTATTGATCGGATCCTTTACCGTTCGCGGTAACAATTTTAATTTCGGCCTACTCGAAGTATCTGCAACGAGAATTAATACAATATTCAATTTTTTATTTCTTTACCTATTGAACACCGTTTCATTGATTTTTTAGCTCCGTCTAGACACAACGTTTCACCTGTTGAGGTTAGCGTATACACTCAAATACACTGAAACGGTTTGACTTGCGATTTTATTAATTACAGGCTTAGTGCATTCTCCCATATACATATAACTAAATATACTCAGTGTTCCCTATTTAACCCCGTATGCTGTTTTCGTGCCTTAAGAAAAAGACAACATAACTCAGCTCCATATTAATGCTGCATAAGTCTATTTCACCCAGATATCGATTGAACTGCGATTGCGCCAAACTCCGATTGATTGTTGTTTTAGTTCTGTTTGGATTACTTTTTATTTGTGCGCGTAAGTGCGTGATTTTGTTTAGTTTATTGTTTCCAACTATTTTTTGATATTTTTCCAACTCCATAATAATGTTATAAATAATTAAAAATGTAAATTAAATTGAAGGTTAGGTGAAATGTCAATCAACCACTTCCCTTTAAAAACACCGACCAATGAAAATTTCTTCAGGTAAGGCATGCGCAGTTAAATGAATATTCGGGTGAAATAGACTTATATGCAGAATTCCATATTTCTCTTTCACTGTTTGGGCTTCACTTTTTAGAGATTAGGCTGAGTATATTTAGTTATGTGTATATGCGTTCTCCGCCAGTGCTGCCACCATTGGAGAATATCGTAAACAATTGATATATACAAATACACGGGTTTAAATAGCGAATATACGAAAATTTTGTTATATAATTATTCTAAAAGTGTTAGGAAATATAATTTGTGAAAATTTTAAAAATAAAAATAAAAAAGTAAATATTTTGATATCTTCAGAAGGTCTAACTTGTATTATAACTTATTATTCCAGCGAAAAAAACTTTTTAGATGAGTTCAAGTACGGTAGCGAGCATAGTTTTAATCACCGGTTTTGCTAGTGGGGTCATAATTGAGGCTATTTTGGCTATAACGAAATTTTCTAAAGGTACATAAATTATAATTTTAGAAGATGCTCATAAAACATTTAATCACTAGTTCATTTTTGTTAGATTACATTATTTTGTAGTCGCATATTTAAGATGCTTTAAACATATCCATATTATTGTTTGTAAATTGCCCTATATTAAGTGCAAAGAATTGAGAAAAAGAATTATTAAAAGTAGTTATTGTTACGATAGTTAAACCATCCGACTACCAAATATACTTAAAATCCACTATTCTGAATGAATAGCAACTACCAACTTGGGAGGAAGCTGCGAGAACGATTCTATTGGGTGAACTACAAGGAAGACATGAGCATCTGGAAGGGCTATAAAATTATATTATTTCACGTCCCAAGCCATGTTGGAATATCTGGGAGTGAAAAAGAAGATAATACTGCACACGATTTTTGTCTAGAAGTAGTTGATATTAAGGTAGTTAAGCCATCCGACTATCGAACATTTAAAATCCACTATTCTGAATGAATGGTAACTACGATGGCAAGACGTAAATAAATACTTGTACAGTATAAAATTATATTATATTGGCTTAATTTTTATACTAAATAAAATGTGTTACGTTATTTTTGACCTGCATTATATTTATTTAAATCCCATATCATCAATTAAACTTTTAATAAAGTTTTCCTAATTATAATTAACATTAATTTTAAACTATACCCTATATACCCTATATTTTTTCACTGTCAGGAACACGGACAAATGACAGTTTCGTTGTAAAACTCACTGATCCAGTCAGTATACTAGTTTTTTTTATTTACACACAATGTTTACTTGATACATTTTAAATGAACAGGTAAACGTTATGTGTAGACGGGGCTTCGTATAAATTTGAAACTTTGGTACAAATTGTTGTTGAATTTGTGTGGTCAATTTTGCCGTTTTTTAGGTCATTAAAACAAGGCCATTTTTAAAATAAACATTTTTTGCTTTTCACAATTCATAAGAATGATATAAAATGCTCTATTTTATATCATTCTTACAAAAACTTATTTCTTTTTTTGGAAATAATTTTATAGAATTAAATTCTTAAAATTGATGATGTCAAAAAGTTATGTTTTTGTTAAGGGATATGCTGAACAATTGAATTGATTCCTCATAAAACTTTTAAATATGTACTACTATTTTTTGGTAAACACACTTCAAACCATTTAGTATTCTAAATTCTTTTATAAAATACTAGCGTGTACCCGCGACTTCGTTCGCGTCGAATTAATCATTTGTAATGGTGATGATAAAGCAAAGCAAGAATTTCCATTAACATACAAACTGGAGCAGAATCGTGGTTAATCAATTACCCAACTTTTTGGAACACCCTGTATGATTTTTTAAAAAATTTCAAAATATTTAAAAAAAAAAACAAAATAAATTATGCTTGTCCAAGCGTTTTCCCGAAAGACTAACCATTTTTTAAATAACAAATATTGTAATATTTGAGGGGTGGTTTCACCCCCTTAGAATTCGAGTTTCGAAAAATCCCTTCTTATCGAACCTCTACACCCTAAAGTTAACCTCTACACCCGTTTTCCAAAAATTAGCTTTTGACGTCAAGCACTTTAAGCAGGATCGTGATTAATCATTGACCAGATTTTTCGTAACACCCTGTATACATTTTTAAAAAATCTTAAAATATGTAAAAAAAAAACAAAATAAAATATACGTGTTTAAGCGTTTTTTCGGAAACTTGACCGTTTTTTAAATAAAAAATATTGTAATCTTTGAGGGGTGGTTGTGAACCCCCTTGGAACTGGAATTTCGCAAAATCCCTTCTTATCGAACCTCTACACCCTAGAATCAACCTGTATGAAAAAATTGAGCTTCTTACGTTGAGTGGTTTGAGCAGGATCGTGATTAATCAGTGAGTCAGTCACTTAAGGATTTTATATATTAGTATAGATCAATCTGAAAATTATTTTCAAAAAGAGAAATAAGTTTTTTTTGTAAGAATGTTATAAATTCTCTGAAAAAAATATTTTTCATTTTTTTCAAGTTTTCTTTATGCCTGGTATCAGAATGGATATTTAGAAAAGGACTGCTTTCACCGATCCTAATCATACTGCAAAAAGTGATATTAGATAAACTATACCTGGGGCGGGATTAGGAAGTTCCTCGCTATATTTCCTATCAGGACCGCCGCGTCGTACACCACCGACACCTCCCGGAGGTCCGCCAAAGTTCCCTGGTGCTCCTCCTCCTCTTTGGCCACCTTTATGACCCCAACTTCCTCCGCCATCTTCTCCCGTGAAGTTTCCATAGTTTCCTCGGTGTCCACTTCGTGAACCATCCTGAAAGTAAAATTACCATCAATTTTGAGGGAACTCCAATGAACAAAAATACTACGGAAGGAATTTTTCTATTCATACATTAGAGATAAAATTTACGTAGGTAATGGGAATGCAATCTATTGTAATCGCAAAACATTTTCCGAACCACGTCATCAATCATACCGACATTGAGACTAAAGTCTATAAACCTGACTAAATGAAATTTTGGCAAAAATGTTTAAATTTGTTGTATAATATAAGATACCGAACAGCTCTTCATTTTACTTTATAGAGCAAATGTAACTAGAGATGGGGACATTCCGGGAATCTTATATTGAGGGAACGTTCCTGGGAACGTTCCCCAAATCGTGATAGTAATGGGAATGGGAAAATTTTTTAATGTTATGAAAAATTGGAAACTTTCCGGGAAGGTTCCCGGAAATATTCCCCAAAGCAGAAAAGTGATAAAGTTAAGAAAATATAACTTTCAAAATATATTTAATAACAACAAAATAATATATAAATAACAACAGAAGCAACACAAGTCCATAAAAGAAACAAATTTAGGTTATCTTCTTCTTCTTCTTGTTTCACGATGACCACGCGCCTTTCGACGGCCAGTCAGAGTCTATTATTCTTTGATTATTGTTTCTTTCTGGTTTCTTTATTCTTCAGTCAAACAGAGAACGTCCTCACGGACGCATACGCCTGGAATTGAAGAAACTTTGGGCGCATTGAGGAAAACTTCTGCTCATTACTGCACTTTCATGTGGGATGATTCTCTTCTAGGGCCCTCTAAATTAGGCTTTTATGTCAAGGTAGTGAAGGATCAGGAATCACAAAGGAAAGACATGTACTGTGGCGTGTCCAGCAGCTAACAGACAGGGACTGCGTCAGGCCAGCATGAATATAAGGAATATACTGCAAAATAAATTACTTATTATTGAAAGTTAAATATCATCATTATTCACCATTTCTAGCAAAGCAGGAACATGCAAAGCGTGATTAAAGCTGCAAAAAACTACTACGATGCATTCTCGATTAAAACCTGTAGTACTAGTTCTACTTCTATAAAGATAGGATTCCTTTCTAGTTGAAAAATATTTAAGCAAAAACATCCAGCAAGCCACAATTATTCATCTACATTTAAGTTTACTCTAGATTAGCCAGTGTACAGACTGATAGTCTTTTTGGCATGAAATCCATAAGCGTGGCGAATCCATAACCGTAGGTATTCACAATTTAATACTATTTTTCTTAAGGTATTGATACACCAATTTTGCCTCTTTGGATATTGCGTTCCTCAGGACATCTTGAATCCTAATGGGAGAACTCATACAGCTAGTTAAAGACAGGTATAGAGTATGACATGCTTGATCTCTCAAACTACAAGCAAAAATAACGTGCGTAAGGTCCCCCTTACTTCCACATTCACACAGAAAAGAGTCTTTGATACCCAACTTGTGGAGATGAGTCGGGGTGAGACAATGTGACGACCTCATTCTGCAGAACAAATGACATATTCGCGATTTACATCCGCGCATTTGTCGAACCATGGGGATCTGAGAGGTTGTGGAACAATGTTATAGTAGAAGACTCCTTTTGTTTGACCCATATTATGATATAAATTTGTCCATTCTTGTCTGCTTTCCTTCTTTATGACGCCAAGGAGTTCAGAATAATGAATCTTATTATTCACCAGGTTCCTGGACTTTCTCCCAAGAAATGCCAGTCTATCAGCTTCCGTGTTACCATCAATATTAGAGTGGCCAGGGATCCAGATTAGTTTTATAGATTTTCCTTGTTGTGTTAGAGTAATAATTCGCTCTTTTATTCTTCCTGCTATTTTTCCTGCTCTACAAGAAATATCCGAACGTGTGATACTCTGTAGAGCACTCTTTGAATCTGACAGAATGGCAATTTTCTCTGCATCATCCCCAAGACCCAATAAGGCTCTCTCAATGGCTAACATTTCAGCACTGCATATAGACGTGTGCTTTATGCATCGGCCAATTGCTGAGTATCTTTTAGAAAAATTGTATATTCCAATACCACTTCTTTCAGATACAGGATCCAGTGACGCATCCGTGTTAATTAGCTCATACCCTAATAATTCTTTTGAAATAAACTCCTGCAGTTTGGATTGACAACCTGGGGAAGTTTTAGTAAGGCCTGAATCTTCCCAGTGTACATCTTGTATCTGACAATCAAAGTCAGCTTCAAAACATGGTAATATCTGGCTTTTTTCAAGAATGTTGTGAAACGATAGCACTGAGTCCAAGCCTTCCAACAAGGCTGCTGATTGTAAGATATGTATAGCCCAATTAGACTTGTTGAAATAGCCTCTTCTGTGCAAGCCAGTTTCTTAGCCGAGAATTTGGCACATAACCAAACTCTTCTGGCTCTTAACGGCATTTCAGTCGTCTCAGACATCAAAACATTAGTGGGGGGTCAAAATATTATTAGTGGGGTTATTCATGCAACCTGTTACTACTCTTAAAGCTTGCATATGAATTTTGTCATATTTTCTTGCATTCTTTTTTGACATCGTTAATAATGCCTGACAACCATAGTCCATGTGGCATCTTACGACGCCCTTGTATATATTCATTAATGTAGATGGGGGGGATCCCCACTTGGTTCTGCAGAGAGCACGCATCACGTCTACTCCTTTCTGTGCTTTTCTGCAAGATTCTTCAATATGAGGATTCCAGAGAAGACGACGATCCATTTTGAGACCAAGATATTTATATTGTTCCACCCATTCCACATCTTGTCCATCCGCTCTTATCGAGTGAGGAGGATTTGCTCTTTTCCCTCGAGATAAGTACATTGCCTTAGTTTTAGAGGGAGAGATGCTTAGACCATTGTTCTTCAACCAATCCAACATAGATATTAATGTTCGTTGAATTCTGTTTATCGCATTGTCAACATTCTTATGGGAAGTGTAAATGACCAAGTCATCAGCATATTATAAAATCTGTACATTCTCCTCCATCACCTATTATTATTATTCTCCTCCGTATACCATTAGTATATATATTGAATAAGACTGGACTCAGGGATGATCCTTGAGGAAGGCCTTTATAGGCTATTTGGGGACCTATGAGATCTCCTGTGTTAGGGGATCTGACAAAGATGCTCCTTTGTATTAAGATTTTTAAGATTGCTTGTATGGACCATTTATCAATTTCAGCATCGTTTAATTTCCTCTCTAGGAGGTCTAATTGAACATTATCATAAGCGGCTTTAAGATCAATAAATATACAGACAGCTATCTCCTTTCTGGCAAATGCCTGGTAAATATAACTAGATAATACTACCAGATTATCAGTGACACCACGTCCTCTTCTAAATCCATTTAGATGTTGATTGAAGAACCTATCCTGTTCTAACTTATGCTCTATTCTATTTTTTATTATATTTTCAAATATCTTGCATAAACAAGAGGAAAGAGCAATCGGTCTATAAGATTCGTGGTGAGACGGGTCTTTACCATGTTTTAGTAATGGAACAATGATATGTTCCTTCCATTCCGCAGGTATCTCCATATCTTGTCTTAAAACGTCATTATAAATGTTTACCAGACATTCCTTCATTTTAATGGGTGTTTGAGAAATCATCTTGAACGTAATGTTATCTTTACAAGGACATGATTCCTTCCTGTTTTTTAAGGCATAGTTGAATTCATACATGGAGATACTCTTTAGGTCATAGTTGTTGAATGCTCTAACTGCTGAGAAGTCTTTAGCGATGCAGTGAGGGGGGGGCGAGGCTGTCCAACAACGTCTCGAGCCACAATTCCTTTTCAGCGCAGTGTCTAACTTGTATATAACTATTGGAGTATGCCTTGACCACTTTCCATATGGTACTCATGGGTGTGTTTTTATCAAGGCTTTCTGTAAATTTTCTAAAGCTTTCCTTTTTCTTTCGTTTCATGGCCCTTCTTGCTACAGCCGCTTTTCTTTTGTACTCCAGATAGTTATGATCGCTGATATTTTCTTTATATGCCCGAAGGGCCCTGCTCCGTTCATCCACCGCCACGCGACATGCCTCATCCCACCACCTTGGTTTGGGAGTTGCTGTTCTCTTGCCCTTTTGGAATGACCTTTTTGGGATATGTCCCAATGCTGCCCTATTGATCTCCTCTACCAGACTTAGATAAGAGTTTACGTTCACCTCCTGATTGAAGCTCATGAAGTATCCGTCCCAGTCCGCCTTCTTTGTGTTCCATCTACTTATAGGGTTATGTACTGTTTAGATGAACAAGTTAGAATTAATAAATACCATCGTTGGAAAGTGATCACTCATGCCTGGGCTATCTACAATTTCCCATGAGATGTTTGGTCCTAGTTCTGCCGTCATTAAGGTGATATCCGGACAACTTTTCCCTTGGTTCGGGGGAGTAATCCTGGTCGCTGACCCGTCATTTGCTATCAATATATCATTCTCAGAGCATTTGGCTAAGATGTTCTTTCCTGTGTGGTTATTGCGGGAAGAGCCCCAATTACTGTGTTGTCCATTAAGGTCTCCCAAAAAAATGCTTTTATTTGTCCATTTGTTCATAAACTCTTGGATATTCTCTCTCGTTAGATGAATGTCCGGAGGGCAATATGCAGTAAAGATCGACAATTTTTTTATGGAAATTCCTAAATACTGACCCCTCCAGTCTATATTAATATTAGTATTGCACTGGGCAAATGGTATAGAAGAGCTGACCAGAATGGCTACTCCTCCCTTTCCATCCTGTCTGTCTTTCCTTACAATACTGTATGATGGGATAATAACTTTGATGTGCGGACTCAGCCATGTTTCATTAAGACACACTACGTCAGGTTTATAAGAATTGAGTAAAATTATTAATTCAGAATAGTTTCTCAGTAAACTTCGGATATTCCAGTGTATGATACTTAATTTGTTTTAACTTGGATCATTAGGTACCTTTAAGGTGTATGTTGTGAACTCCCCGGAAGTACTTCCAACTCCATATCTTCCAAGGAAATGTTTATCTGAGCGTTTCC